GAACCTGAGCGCACTGAACGTAGTAACTTAATGATACTTTTCTTTTCTCGAATTTCGCTTTATTTCAAATTTTTTTGTTTTATTTATTTATAACATACTGCACACCAAGATGGTCCCAGCAGGAGTGAATAAGAGACAGTAACTCACACTCAGTACACGACAATATGTAAGCAATACTTTCGACAGGAAGTACATATAAACAACTTTTATACAGTGCATAAAAAGCCACCAGCAGCAGAAGAAAATGTATCAGTTAGGACGTGTGCAGCCATGAACTGGGAGGAAACGGCTAACTGAGTGGGAAGAAAATTCCAGTCACTAATAGACCGATCTCACCAGGAGTTGCGCGACGCCACCGCTGCCGCGGTGCATCCTGGTACCTGTAGTTCTCCCCAGTTTTCCGGCCGCGTCGATGCGCATTGTACGCCCGGCGTTTGAAAGTTTTCGGGTTAGCACGAGACTTTTAGCCAGGTGTTTACTCATGGTTTTCAATCGGTGGCTTCACATGCATGTTGTATGCCACGGAGCTATAATAACAGCACCAGGCAAAAAGGCCTCGGATATTATGTCTTCCCGCAAGAAAGAAGCATGGCAAAGAAAGGTCAACAGAGCCGGACAGAGCGGCAGGAAAAATAGCGTTTTACGATTTGTTTCGCGATTTGCTTCATAATTTATATCCGACCTATTGCACGTCAGCTAAGATGTATAAGAATACAGGGCACGAGACATACAGCGTGCCGAAGCGTTCCGTAAGCTGGGATCTCTCTAACCATTTGCTCCGAACCGCGGTCTATTCGTAGGTCTATCTCAAATAAGACCTCCGCACTGCTTTGTGGAGGCCGTTTTTAATACACTTCTTGCTCGGTGTATTTTGGTGGTTATAACTGTTATTGCGACGACAGGTTTCAAGCACAACTCTGCTTCAAAATATTAGGACAATCACTAAAAAAAAGCAGCGATTCCCGATATGCACCACTTGAAATAAAACAACCTTTTCAGAAGCAGCCTTCATTTTTTTTTTATACAAACGTGAAAAGATTACATAATGAAATTTAGAAGTGCAACACGTACCTACCGCCAAAAATGTAACAAACGAACCTCATTCATTTTGTTGTGGTCTATTAAAGGAGCTGTGCAACGATATTCAGTTGGAATGTTTTTCACTATACACAAGCTTACTGGCACTAGTGGAGGTCAAGGATACTCGCACGCAACTCCGCTGGCCAAGAAACTACTTTGTTGCGGTGTAATTTCAAGGACAAAAGCGATCATTTTCATTCAATCTCTCCTTTGCAAAATTTGATGACGTAACTCGGGGATCGCAGTACACCCATGTGACGATATTTGAATGCTGTTCATAGACTGGACCCGAGCATTGCGTGGGCACTCGATTTGGGCTCGTGATAATTACTAGCTCGAGAAGCATTCGGGTAGTGGCTCGTGTCCAATCGCTGCAACGACGACAATAACCGAGCCATAACAATATCTGGAACTCAGCGCGTGCCCTGTGCTTTGCCAACCCCAGCGCGTGGCTATGATCTACGTTGGCGGCATATAATCGGCTCCAGATCACGTGGCCGCTTCTTCTGGCTGCGAGTTGAGGGGGTGAACGCCGCTCGTTTTTCTTTAATTTTTTTTCTGGGACTTCTATTGCGTGGGGTGAAAAACGAACGCGTGTTTCATAGGTCATTAATGTCACGGATCCGTTCTAAGCGGTATTTGCGCAAAGTACAAAAATTGTTGCACAGCTCCTTTAAGCTGGTATTACTGATCCATTCTGCATTGGCACCAGTCGAGACCGCAGAAAAAAGCTTCCCCCGTCGGGCGACTGTTAGCGTTCGGATCTTGCGCAAACAAAATAAAACTGAAAAGAAACTGTCCACGAAAAATCATCTCCACCCCAAGCTTTCAGGTATCTGGCATGGTTGCTTCTTTTTGATAGACGCCAGTTATTACGCCGCGTCAGGCATGGCTTTTCTGTCTTTTCTGTAGATCAGTTCTTTGTGTGCAGGCTTCTCCCACTGTTCACCTGTACTCTGTCGCACAGGCTGTCAACCGGAATGAAACAACTCTTAGAAAACTATCGCTCACCGAGAAAGTCTATTTAGCTCCTCTTACTTGATGGCTGATTAAACGTTATGCACAAGGCTGAGCACCACCAAGCTCAGTTTTTCATCACATTTGATGCTGTTCCGTGGTGATACACCGAGCCGATGGTCCCTGGAATTTTGTTGTTCTTTGCTATTGCACTAGATGTTCACTTGTTTGCAAGGTAATTGAGACGTCCGAGGAGTCAAAATGCCCCAAAAACAGCGCCGTTTTTTTTTTTTTTTTTTTTTTTTGCTGTTTTTTTTTTGCGGCCGCAGTGGGATTACCGCGTGAACGGCAGTGGGCTCACGCGTTCACGAAGACGAAGAAGCAGACGACGACGAAGCAGACGACAAGGCGATTCTAAAGCGATAAGACGACCGAAACTGCTTTTCTGCACTTGCTGAGGAAAGTAAGGCATCACAAACAACACAATCTTATGAAGTAAAAACATGCAAGAGAATCGAGGTGATACCGGGGCGTGCCAAATGATAATCTATGATGATGTACAGTCGGGGACAAAAGTCTCCAGGACACGCGAGCTGCGGCTGAAACTGCCATCTGCCGGCGGGTCGCCTGGTTTCGAGATCACAGAAAAGCGCATGCGCGTCCTACTCTGTGTGCAAACATGTGTGTTTTCCCGCTCTTCTGCGGCACAGCGCCTAACTCGGAATCGGGCGCATGGTACCGCCTCGGAGATAGCGCTGGCGGCTTACGAGCGTCTGCTACACATTCCGAAACACGAGATACCGCCTGGGGCATTGCGCCGCATTTCGCCGTGTCAGCGCACCTTGCTTTATAACCAGTTGATTTTATCGCTCAGTTGAGCTGCCGTGACTTCTTGCTTTATAGGTGCCATGTCAGTAAGCGCTATCTCCGAGGCGGCACCCCGCGCCCGGTTCCGAGTTAGGCGCCGCGCCGCAGAAGAGCGGGAAAGCGCACATGTTGGCACGCACAGTAGGACGCGCATGCGCTTTTCTGTGATCTCGAAACCAGGCGACCCGCCGGCAGATGGCAGTTTCAGCCGCAGCTCGCGTGTCCTGGAGACTTTTGTCCCCGACTGTACGTACGCGCAGCCGTATGTAGCCGGGAAGCCGGGAAAGGATGACTACAAGTAGCATGGCGGCGGCACCACTTCCAAAATGCGCGCGCCTGCGCAGTTCGCTTGGTGGCATCGGTCTATTGTCCTGGGGGAAAAAAGAAAATTAAAAAAAAAAAAAATGGTGCGAGCAAAGTAAGGCGCTTGTAAGTGTGGCTGATAATGTCTAGTCTGTCTCGCAGTAGCGGGTTGCAGGTGGGAGTGGCGATTAATAGAAAGCCTACTATTTGCAAGAAGATACAAATACTTGAGCCTAGCCTTTTTTCTTCTTTCCTGTAGCAAGTCAATTTCGTTTATTTGCATTAGTGAGGAGGGAGAGTCGGATCGTTTGAATTGATCGTAAATAAATCTGACTGCCCGCCTTTTAACTCGTTCTATAGTTTATTTATATCCTTTTTAGAAAAGAGTTCCCACACAATGCTGGCGTATTCAAGCTTGGGTCTTACGAGTGAGTTGTACGCCAGTAATTTTACATTAGAGGGCGTGTTCTTTAGTTTGCGATTAATCAATCTAAGCTTCCTAAAAGCAGCAGAGGTTATGTTAATTGTCTATATGTTTCGACCAGCTCAAATGTTTGTCAAATGTCAGCCCAAGATACTTATAATGATCTACCTCAGAAACCTTATAGCCCCTTATTTTGTACTATATAAAAAAAAGCTGTTTTTCTTGTGTGATTTCAAGAACGACAGTTTTCTCAAGAATCAGGCTCATCTCCCAATGGTCGCACTAATCCTGTATAGAATTTAAACTCAGCTCATTTAAAGGATCTGCGCAACGAACGGAGTATAGACCTTTCTGAAGAAGGGCTCCTGGCCGGTTCCATTTTGAGTGTTCGTGCGAATGGCACGTGATTTGCTCGCTTTTTTAAAGCGATGAACGTGCGCGTGCTGGACTGAGCAGATCGCACGGTGGACTGACGACTTGTAAACATTAAAATGGCGTATAGAACAGTTCCCAATATAAAGCGAAAAAAAAAAATGGACGAAAGGGCATTTGTGGTCACGGAGCACAAAAGCTAAGGAAGTCACGTGACTTCCGGCTATGCCCTCCTTCCGACTGCTGGGACCTTTTTCTGAGAGTATGTGACGTCACACTACCTTGGTCATTCCGGAACCCTTGACGTCCCAGTATATTCAGTATATCGCGTCGGCGCCTTAACTTCGAATTAATATTTTGATAAAAAAAAAAAATGCTACGCAGCCTTGTATGTATAACTTCCTTTTTTTAAATAAAAAATATGTATTTCTTTTTTGGTGTTTTTAATATTGTCAGTGGCACATTTGTGTTTGCTTACAACCGAGCTCTTGTGATCTCTCCCGACGAGAGAACACGCTGGCCTCGTCTAGGAGGTGGGCCTGGAACTGCATTTTACCAAAGCGAAGTCTTTGCAGTATTTGCGAGGTCAAATGCACGTACTATCTCTGAGAAATTGTCGTTTATAACAATGTTTAAAGTCTTTCAAGCCATTAAAGAAATGATGATGCGCGGAAATAGTAGAAGGCTTACGGAATCGAAGTGTGTATGCCAGTCTTTAGAAACGTTGCCTAAAAGCTTTGGCGACATCGTTGTGGGACTTGTGAATCGCGGCGGCGTCTGCTATGAACGCAATCTCGACGACGAAAGCCCGTTTCCGGCTAAGCTGCACCTTTTGAACTGGTGTGCCGCCGACGTCCTTGCAACAAATAGCTTTATTTCGAACAAATAATGGCTATATTTCAAGTTATCTTGATTTTTTTTTTAATCTAAAAAAGTACTTTACGTATTTGTACCTTTAGCTTCAAGACTCTCGTGTTCCAAAGTTACTTACACACTACGTTTTGCTACACTAGGAACCCTGCTAAAGAATGCAGTATTGAAACACCCAGCCCATAACAACAAACTTGAGCACTTAAAAAAAAACAAATCTGCTTTGGAATGTGGATAAATGTTGGCTGGAGTCGTGCTTGTAACTGATAAAAACGGCAGACGCAGATATAGTTATGATAAAAAAAAAATATAGTTTATTAGACTTCTTAAATAGCTATAAAGGTGAAGTAAAAAAAATATCACAGGCGTTAAATTAAAATAAAAAGTTCGTATCTTGTTAACTTGATTCCTACGACGTTGAAGGGACGTCGTTGGAAGACATGTGCTCCACAGGGATGGGGACTGTGTCAGACAGTGGTGTCGTCTCCGCCTTCTTCCTCGGGGCCTCGACTGCCAACAGGCCACGTCCTGTGAGCTGTGACGTCACGGATGCCGGATCGACGTCATCGGGAAGCGTGTATCTGCGTCGAAACTCACGCATCACGAAGCCGCGTCCCTCGGGGTCTTTTTCTTCGTGCCTGGCGTGTACCTCGACGGAGTTTCCGATGGTCTTGACGCTGATCTCCTCTGGAACGAAGCCCCGGACGTCCAGCCTCAGCGCGAAGTTGTCCGGAGTTAGGGACACTTCGGAGGCCGGACACTTCGAACTGGACACTTTATAAGAGCTGCGGAGATCTTCCGGACATCCAAAAAGTCTAACAGGTACGATGCCGTCGAAGAAAGCCCTGTCGAAGTCGTTGCCATCAAACATCCGACTCATCATGGAACCGCAGTCGGGGAAGGCACCTCTGTCCATCGGTGTAAAGATCGGAGCCATGGGGAAGACGATCATCTCGATGCCGAAGCGAGGTAACCGAGTATGGACTGAGTTGGCGCTCTCGAAACACGACTCGATCGAATGCGAGTGGTTTTGTAGCAGACGAGCTCGGCGGAGCGCTTTTTAAGCGCGTTCAAGGCAGCCTCGAAAGCGCGTGAATGTTCTAGGCGAGGGCAGAAGAAAGACCGCTTTGTGATGTGATTGGTTGATGGTGATTACGTCACGAGCGGATGAGTAACGCGCGCACTTCGAAACGCGTAGGAGCATCGAGGAACTTCGAGCATATTCCGCAGGACGCGCTCCGCGTCGCGTCAGCGCTGCGCCAACATTGCGCCGCACGGATTGGTGGCGCCATCTCTTGAGAGAAATTCAAAACAACGCAACGTGAGTTCAACCGCAGAGGAATAGGCAACCTGCAATGCAGTTTGGCCAGTTTGGCGCTACACGTTGCGCCATCTAGCGGCTGCAAAATAATGAAACTGGGTAGGCCAGGACTACGCGGGTCGCGGGGCTGCAGGCGGGCGCATCGAGAAACCACGTGTGAACGTTGCATTTCGGATCGGCGTGAGCTTTTTTGGAACCGTTTTTTTTTGTAAAAGTGAGTCCCAACCTCACGTCTCTATAACCTCACCGGGTTCCTGCGACATCTCGCCTACTCCTAGAGTTCCCCCAAAAAATAAACGTTGCTACTGCTGCATGAAAGACGGCCACAGTCGCAAAGGTGACTCAAGCGTCGAACTTCACCGCTTCCCCAGCTTCCCTTCGAGATCTTGGGAAGCGACACGGCGACAGAAGTGGATTACTGCAGTGCGACGCAACAAGTAAGTGAATTTTACAGAAACTGTTGGGGGGGAAGTGAACGAAAATATATGTGTAGGCTTGGAAAGAGGTCGGACGAACTCGTTTTGCAGACTACTCGGCAAAATAACCTATTTATACAAGTTGTATTACGAGTCGCTTTGACAGCCACATTAGGGAAATACGATAGGAACAATCGGGCCGATTGTTGCTTCGCTGTGACGTCGCTTCGCCAGCCGAGTGCAGCTGTAGCCTCCACCATGGTAAGGAAAAACTAGCGCCACGAGGCGCTAGTGGCAGAAAGGCGAACATACGTCTGGTCGGAGATTAAAATTGGTCTCGAAAGGCTGCCAGATGGCGCCACCACTGCCGTTGGCGTGCGCCCTCCGTCCTCCTCCTCCTCCTCCCCCCCCCGGGTTCTTTTTTTTTTTTTTTCTGGTTTGTTTGCTAGGCTCTTGCCGCGTCGGCCGCTGTGAGCGGCCAGTACGGCACCGGTCTAGCAGACGAGCCGCGCGCGATATACTTCACAACAACTGCGCTTCACGTGATATTACCAGTGCAATCAAACAGAAACAGCACGTTCATTGAAATGTATTTTTTTATTGAACCCCATTCAAATGAGTTGCGGTACTTCAAACACGCATCTACAAACTCCGTTGGCAGTCCACCGCCCTCAAAGGGGAACCACGAACTGTAGTAGGCAGTAAACACAGTAAAGTTGTCAAACATCTAAAACGAAATTAATTACTTTAATGTACAAACTAAGAGAAAAGCACTTATCATCGAATTATCTAAATGCTCTATAAACAACTCCCACAAACTAAACTTCTGAATACCCAAACAAACAAATCAACACCGAAATAAAGGAAAAGGCTTGCAGGTGAGCTGCATAAGAATAAACGATAAATAAACCATAAACAAACTCGCCAATAGGCAATGCAATTAAGAAAGAAAGAAACTACTGTTTTGGAGTGTCTACATCTCTGACTCTAGGTGCTTTATCGGTACTCTATCCTAACATATAAACACGAAGCTGTCAAATTAACTGAAGATTGCTCTGACAGCAACTCACCCAGAGGAGCAAGACCTTGCAGCAACGGATTCGTAACAAGAACGGTGGGGCACGCGTTTTTCCACAAACGAATCTTCCCACAACTTGCAAACACGGTAGCACCGAAGTGCTCGCTGCACAAACGACGCTGGCGCAGCTTGCTCGTCGGCAAGCCGGGCAGCCCGGGCAGGCTTCCAAAGTCCTGGCGATTTGCATACGCAATCCATTTCGATGCTCTGAAGGAAAAGTCGAGTTTCGAACGCTGACAAAAAAAAAAAAAATTGATATAGAAGTTCACCTGTCGTCTGTTGGAAAGCGGAAGAATGAGCACTCCGAGGTTACTTCGCCGCGCTGTAGACTCCGTAATACGCCGTCATGAGGCACGCAAAACACTCGGCAGAATCTCTGTCAAATTAGAGACGTACATCTCTAATTATTATAAGCGCGCAGCAGCGTCGCACCGTACTGCATACTGCCGTATAATCCGCACTTTCGATTTTAGCACGCGCGGAACGGTTTGAAAGCTTGGAGTGACGAGCGAGCGCAAACAAAACAAAAAAGACAAAAACGGTCGTTTCCCTTCGCTCTTACTGATTGGTCGGAAGAGCCCAGAGTGCTTCGCTTTCGGTAGCGAAGATCATATACACGTCGCCTGCGCTGAAAATCATAGCGGCGAATATGAGCATAACAGTTTGGTCGGAGTCGGCTGGGTAGACCTACAAATCTGCTCTTTGGATGGACGTACAAGAGAGAAGCCAGCGACGCTGCGCCCCTATCGGCCCAACCGGGAACTCCGGAGCTGCATTCGGATGGCTTCGCTGTGACGTCGAGAATCGGGCGATCAGGTCACATCAGGTCTTCAAGCGAAAGGCCCGTCGGCCCGTTCCGGCACTCCTAATGCCGTTCGGCACGCGTGGTTGCAACCAAACCTTCTAAACCTGCGAGTTTTCAAAAAGGGGATTTTGGCAGTACAAATTTTTGTTTGTTTCAGCAACCAAATTTAATGCTGAGTCTGGTAACAACAGTGACGGCGTGCAGAAAGCAGAATGCTAAAGTTTTTCTTCAGAAAAATCTCGTGCGAAGCGTAAATATCCTTCTTACACGTAGTACACTTCGTTGCCTGGCGCCATTTTACACCAGGCTCTGTAATGTGCGTGCGGTTCTGTAGCATGCAGAGTTTGGTTCTAATTACCCAAATTTTATTCTAGTGTGTGTGGGCGTCGGGAGGAGAGGACGGCCGAGCGAGGCGCGAGCGGGGGCCAGCCGGCGAGGAAAGAGGAAGAGCGTGCTGCCCGAGGCTGGGGCCGGGCAGGAACGATAGAGCCGTTCTGGCTGGTGTGGCCCATGGCGATTCCCGGGAGCATTCCACCAGCGAAGTTCGGATCAAAACCGGCGGAAGCGGCGAACCCTGACCATACTGTCCTCCATGACGATCTCGGAGTGGTTCCGCAGCGAGACTCTGGCTGTGATAGACCGGAACAGCTAGCCTACGCAGCGCTGGCGTGGGAAGGGCGATCCGTACGCCTGGACACGGGCTCCGACTGTGAGCTCTGAACGACGGGCGACAACTAGGGTCGGCGGGTCCGAACTGCCGGCTCTCGAAGCCGGGCAACCGGGATGTACAATAAACCCATTCGCTGCTTTCTCGTTGTATTGTGTCACTTCATGGGAGACGAGCGAAGCAGACCGATCGGGCGGCCACAAGTAGTGAAGTCAACTCAAACTGGTGTCCAAATGACGACTCTAGAATATTCTCTCAACTCTTGGACCTATCAAGGCTCCCGATGGTCTTAAAGAACCGCATAAAAGAACCAGGGACATGGCACGCAGGTGCACACGGGGACTGCTGAAATCGGGGTCGCCGCCGCTCGCAACGGCCCGACGGGCAAACTGGCCGCCCCAATAACAGACGCCTCCGCTTGTGGCGCTGAATGCAGTACTATAGTGGCGCCGCCTGGCCATTGCCGGCTGCCTATGCAAGAATGTTTCGGTGTCTCGGTCTGTAACATATTACACCGTACGTTACAAATGGAATGGACATGCAACCGTGTACCCTACACTCTAAAAAAAAAGAAAAAGAAAGAAAAGGTATCCCCTACACTTTTTTGTCCCATATAATGCACCCCGAGACTTTAGTTCGACGTACAGCGCACTATAGTCGAACAGACGGCCCCACATTTTACGAGGGGCCATGAAAGTTTGTACCGCCAGATCGACGTCGGTGCCCTCTACGTCGAACTGAAGAATTGGGGAGTATTAAATGGGACAACGGGTGTACGAATACACCCCGCCCTTTATTTTTTTAAAGTGTGGATTATTCGAATGAACGTCCGCACCTACATAAGTTTATTAATACCTCACGTGTGATTCAATTTATGTTTCATTTGACACTGCGAGTAAATAATGATTCTAGTGAACAAGCATTGAAGTTTGAACACTACCACAGTGTCCTTTAAAATCTTCAAGCACGGTTCAGGCAGTTCTCAGGGGCACTCAACTAAAGTCACCTGCCCCGCGATATGACGAAATAAACGTTGATTAAAAACTCTCTCTCTCTCTCTTTGTTACTCTGACAAAAACAAACTTGTAACCAGAAACACGAAAAGGAAAGCGGCACTAAAAACAAGCAGAATAGAGCAGACGACGCGGGAGGCTTCCAGCGCTTTCTATATCGAGCCAACCAATGGACGCGCTCCCAGATTTACGTCACGGCGATAGTCGCTGCTGATTCGCCAAAGGAGACCTCGGTCTCTCTGGAAGCTTCTGGAATGACGAGGGAGTAGTACAAAAGGCCGATCGCGGGCTCGCAGCCGCAATCATTTCGCAGCTGATACAAAGAGCGCGATTTTCAAATCGTGGCATCAACTGTCAAGCGAAGCAAACTACGCAACCATGCCATCCCGAACGAAGAGCGGAGCCCCGGCCATCGGCATCGACTTGGGCACAACGTACTCCTGCGTCGGTGTGTTCCAGCACGGTCGTGTCGAGATCATCGCCAACGACCAGGGGAACCGAACGACGCCGAGTTACGTTGCCTTCACCGACACCGAGCGACTCATCGGAGACGCAGCCAAGGCCCAGACTGCACTGAACCCGGAGAACACAGTGTTCGATGCCAAGAGGCTCATTGGACGAAAGTTCGATGATCCCAAGATCCAGGGTGATCTCAAGCACTGGCCCTTCAAAGTGGACAACGACGCTGGCAAGCCCAAGATCAGCGTGGAGTTCAAAGGAGAGCGGAAGAGGTTTAACCCGGAGGAGATCAGCGCC